GAACACTTACAAACAATCTGAGGGTTCCTTCTCAAAATAACTGAAAAATGTTCGTCGAAATCGATAGGATGAAAACAATTCACATTCGCAATCTTCAGAACAAAATTCATCATACACATGGCCAAACAAGATCACTCGCTCGGCCTGGTAACAACTAGAGATGGGTCATGTTAAAATCATGAAATGTCCATTTGGAACCTACAGTTAAAGGATCAAAGGAAATTATAAAAGAAACTGGAATTTCTAAAAGAATGTAGGACTCTGCCATTCATATCTCTGGGAATTTCCTGATTGTTTACTAACAGGTCAACATCTTTAGAATGAACACTCATGCATTGTTAAATGGGACAAAGTGAGGTAGCAGCTTCTTTGGAAGTTTTCTTCCCTCTTCTGTACTAACTCTTTACATTTCAAAACCAGTATGTATATTTTCCATACTGTTCTTAGTCTAAACATTTCTTAAGGTGCTGTCAAGGAGGATTTGTTGAACACTTGGCAAGTAAGAGATTTGGTGATCATTTCCTTTATTCTTGTCACCTTAATGAGTGATTCAGGGGGGGATAATGTAAGGAGAAATTAGATGCGAATCACTCTTAGGGGTCAAACGGTTAATTTTTTGGTCCCACTACTGCTCTCTGGGGTAAATACATTGGCAGGTTGGAATCTTCATCCAAAAGTGTTGGTCTGGCCTCAGCTCTGAGAGTTTAGTGTCTCAGACACACATGCTGTGCCTCTCTTCAACTGGGAGTATAAATAGATGTCAGAAAACTTTCCTGGAAAACTACAATCCCCATCACACTAGTTGAAACATATCCCCTACCCTCCTTGTCAAACTTGGTGACAGGAAAGAAAGAGGGATGTTTCAGCAAAATGTGATGAGGATTTGGGAGAACTGCAGGGAACCTTAGTCACCTGTGGTGATCTGGACCAGCATCCCATCCACAAAGAGTAGCAAAAGAATGTAGAACGAATAATCAATGATGTGTCAAAATTTAAATCCAGTTAATAGTGGTGTATAACTTATGTATTCCTGTATTTGTTGTCATGTGTTTCTATTTCTGTATTTTTATCTCATACTGTTTCTGTTTCTTGTATATTTATTGAATCTTTTGTTGAACCAAAATTTATGTAAGATGTTTTAGCGTTCACACACTGCCCGCTGAGACTAGCTATGCTATTTGTGGGTAGTGGTTGATTATGTTAAGTTAAGTTTAACGCCATTAGAATAAAGGAATAAAAAAAAAAAGAATAAAGGAATATTTAAAGATAATTTAATGTGGCTGCAGGTCTGAAACTGAGTTACGTTCTAATGATAAGGAAGCATTTAAGTGTTGAAAAACTTAACCTTTTGACAATTGCTGTGCAAAATCTCTTTGTGGGATGTTATCCAGGATACAATAAGGTCCTTACTGGAAGTAATATTAACTCTTTTTATGACACGACTCGGGTAGTCAGAGGGCCAATAACTAAAATCAACCAATCAAAATGCCCTATTGCCGGTCCAATATTCTCCAGTACTGGACCAGGCACTGTCCCGAATGGTCCCGAATGATACTGCACCTGTGTCCCTTTGAACTTCAGTCGTATAATAAATCTCTTATTAACCAAGCTTGCTTGGGACAGTACTGGAAGAATATTGGCCCTCGGTCTTTTTTGTACGGACCTCGCTGCGCTCGGTCCGTACTGTCAAAACCTCGGGCCGATATTCTCCCAGTACAGCCCTCGCGCTTGGTTAATAAGATATGTGAATTGCTTAAGTACATAGTGCTTCTTCTTACATTATTACTGGTGACAAGTTAGTGATGGGGTGTTTTAGTGAAATCAAATTGAATTTAAATTCTTAATACCAATATAACAGGAAATTTTAAGAGGCTGGACTGATTCTGATGGTGAAAAGGTTTACTGAAATAATCTTTGAAGTTTCCTTATTGTGTTGCTCACAGTATGTTGAACTATAACTCTCTAATCGATGAAGTTAAAAGACTCAGTGGAAGATCTTTTCAAATCAAACAAACAACTAAACAAGCATTTAAGACTAACCCAATTACATTTGTAATCACAAAATGCAGACTGTTGAGGATTATAAGCAAGTAAATATTATGAAATCTGTATTTAACTAACAAAATTGACCAGTATGTACAAAGTATAGTCTTGTGAAAAGTAAGCCACTTGTAGCAGGTCAAAATAAATATGCTGTAAGACACAAAATATCAAAAAGACCAAACTGATAATGAAATCCCTAATGTTTGCCTGAAATTTGGAATCCTGGGTTCCATATCAGGGGCAGATCTAGGGGAGGGCTGTAGGGGGATGCACACCCCAGCCCCCTTGAGATGACCAACAGCTTTCTTATATAACTAGTATTATTCTGCAAAAAAAAAAAAAAAAGTAAGAGGGATATTGGTGTGGAAGTAAAACATTAGACCATGCTGAAAAATGGCAGCCTTGTTCCCAGGGTCTCTCTTCTACCCTTCCTTTGAAAGAAGAGAGACCAGTGGAACAAGGCTGTAAAAGTTGTCACATGGTACTGTAGTTTCTTCTTTGTTGTTCACCTCTTGAATTTGTTTACACCAGCTGTCAGTTAATGGTGCACCCCCTCTTAAGAAAAGTCCTGAATACACCCCAGCATTCATTGGTACTTGATAAGAAAAGACATGGACAGGTAAAGAAGCCCTAGGCCAGGGCTAAGATGTAATCACACCCACTTTTCTTTTAACAGCCAAGTATTATCAGAGGTGATTCTAACTGCTGGTTGTCATGGCAACTGTCCAAGAGAAATTAATGACGAAAGTCTATGAAGAGGAGCGTGCAGCCCCATCTAAAGTGACAGTTGTTGGTGTTGGACAAGTGGGGATGGCTTGTGCTTACAGCATTATGCAGCAGGTTGAACATAACACCATATTGTAGTCATCCACTGAGTATTGTCAAGTATTGTCCTTTTACAAGCCCTTTCTTTGTCCCTTCAATTTTTCTGTCTTTTTTTTCCTGCAGGTCAAATTTATCTAATCTTTTTTAACCCCAAAAGTTAATAATATCACCCTCAGTGATATTTTGGTGTAAGACCAAATTCTCTGGTCTTATTAACGAAGAAATGTGTGGTAGTAAGTGTTCTCGATACCCGACCAGTTGAATGAGCACGAATAAGTCGTCAAAGAAAATAATTCATTTTGAGCTCAAAACATAACAAAACCAAGATGGCTGCTACAGGAAGAAACGAGAGTACCGAAGCCCGCGGTCCCTAGCGGGAAAACGAGTGATATTTAAACAAATCCTTCCTTAACAGTCAGTAGCGATGAGTTTTCAATATCTTCAGAGTTTGAGGGTTTAAATGATGTACAGGATACGCTAATATTGCTAATCGGGGTGGGAGGGATATGCTGTAAAATCTTTATAGACGTGCTGCTCTACTTGGTTTTGCTTGGTTTATAACAAGTAATTTTTATCACGTGACAGGGTATTTGCCGCGAACTGGCTTTGATTGATATGATTGAAGATAAGCTGAAAGGGGAGATGTTGGACTTGCAGCATTGTCAGCGGTTTGTCAAGAACGTCAGCATTCATGCGAGCACTGGTATAAATTATCTTTCACTACTTGCTCTTTGCGGTCTGATTAAGGACCAGATTTGTGTGTGTTTACCTGCGTATCACTCCCATTTCCTTTTCACTCAGATTACGCTGTTAGCGCAAACTCCAACTTGTGTATTGTGACAGCGGGCTCACGTCAGAAAGAGGGCGAAAGCAGAAGGGATCTGGTACAGAGAAACGTCAACATCTTTAAAGGTAAATAGTGATGTCTTTGGCTCGAACCTTTCTGCAGAACGACTCGTGCAATGAAAGCAAATGCTTGACGAAAACATTCCGAATGCTCATGCAATTTGTAAATGCATTTTCTTTTTTGCAGCAATCATTCCACAGCTGGTGAAACACAGCCCGAACACCATTCTGATGATTGTCTCAAACCCAGGTAAAACAATTTAGCAGAGAGATTTAGCACCGCGTTTACGTGAAACGGCAAACGCCAGCTTGCCCCCTCACGTCTCACGTAAAATGGCGTGAACCTTGCGGGTTTAGCATCGCGTAAGCTCACGTCATGGAGGATTCGAAGGCGCCCTCGTATGATTTACATGGAATAATTTTGGTGCCCTTTTCCCGACAGTTAACTCCTACTCTGTGAGAGAAAAAGAGAAGAAAATCTTAAGTACACGGAAGACGTGAAACCGTTTACTTTCACGTAGAAACGGCAAAGCGCAACCGGCAAACGTAAAAAGATGATGGGAAACACAGGGTAACGTGGTCACTGTTGCCGTTCACGTTTCACGTAAACGCGGTATTGAATCTCTCCAATCTTCAATTAAACATGAATACGAATTTTTCACCAATTCCGTTATTATTTTAGTGGACATTTTAACTTATGTGGCTTGGAAAATCAGCGGACTTCCCCATGAGCGCGTGATTGGAAGCGGAACAAACCTAGACACGGCCCGGTTCCATTTTCTTATCAGTGAAAAACTTAACATCGCACCGAACAATGTACATGGATGGATCATTGGGGAGCATGGCGATGCTAGTGGTACGTTATCAATATTCCTTTATTAGCTCTTCACAGGGTGGGACCACTGATCGAAATCATAGGAAGTAGGTCTAATTTGGTTTAGGAAGCAGTGATTTCTGTCTTAAAACCTGATACAATTTGAATAACTTGTTTCGACGACAAAGTTCGGTGCGCAGATCGTGACTAAAATTTTCCTTTTATACTCGGTTTCTGCCGTTCTGAAGAGTCTAGTCTTTGCTCCTCTGCGCACGAGCGTTCGGCTTTTTTCCCGAATAGCGGCAGGTTAACAAGCCTATCCTTTATGCCACCCGAAACGAATTGTCGCTGCAACCCGTTACCTGGTTACCAAACCTTAGTCTGTGAGCGCATCTTACTTCTGGAAAAAGCGTTCGAAATTAAACCTTCATAACGCCTTTTCTGTCGAACTTAATGTTTTGCAAAGTAGCAGTCGGAAAACTTCAGGTTTATCGGCTTATTTGTCAAATGGTTGCTGTTTTTTTTCGTGTTTTCTCACTCTTAGTGCCAGTTTGGAGTGGTGTGAACATAGCTGGAGTGAATCTCAAGGATCTCCACCCAGACATAGGATCTGATGGCGACCTAGAAAAATGGAATGAAGTACATAAGAAGGTCGTGAACAGGTAAGTTATTTGTTTGTTTGTTTTTTCTTTAATTTGTACAACGTTTCGGCAACACCGCGTGAACGGATGTTTGATGGGCCAGGTCTGTCTGCTTGCGTTTCTCCGTTTCAGTGTTTCATCAATCAAATTTCCCAGTGCAATGGCTTTGGGTAATGAAGAGGCAAGACG